TCCGATGTACTGCACACCTCATTTCACATAATTTTTGAATGACAATGACCACATAGAGTTGTTCAAATTGATTTTTCGGATTTTTTTTCCCATTATGAGAGTTTTTTTTGTATGATTCATGCGTTTGAAGGTCAAATAGAGGGGGGACAAAAACATTTCATAACTACCAACTTTCATTAACTTGTATCACTAGATGTTTGATATTTAGTAAAAGTAAATTTTTCATTTGATATATTTTTGTAAAGTGACGCACAAGTGACGGTAATCATGAAATTTTCAATAATTTGTTTGTTATTTCTGGTGAATGCGGGAAGTGGCTTGGATTTCTGGGACGTTTTGTAAAATGTAAAAACGACAAGCTTGATGTGGATAGCACCCAAAGTGATCTACGAAGGTATTTTTTTCAAATTTTGAGTGAAGTTCGTTAACATTGTGACATAACACCCGGAACATAACAAAACACTTCGCGTTTATTTTCACTTAATGTTCCGTTATTCTGACTGTATAGAGTCGTATCAAGATTTTGTGCTCTTTTTCGCGTATGTTTGTTAATCAAATGATCAACCAGAGCTTTTGAATAACCGTTTAAAGAAGCCACATTAAGAATTTGATTCGACAGCGACCAGCGATTATCTCGCAAAGCTTTTTACTGCTGTTTTTAGAATCGATGGCAAATATTAACTAGCCAACCATTATTTCACCTTTAAAGCAAACTCACGATAAATTTGACTATCTTTCAATAAAACCGCGACGAAAACAACCATTTTTGGCCTTGTGTTAGATTCAAATGAAAAGAATAAAATTTGACCAAATTTTCAGAGTTTTCTTCTTAATTTTCCTCACAAGCGGCCGTTTTTTATCAGAAAGAGAAAGTTGAGTGGTATGACCAAAATGTTCATTGAAGTTTAAGTTTAAGAGAAAAAAGTGTCTTTAATTAATAAAAATGAGGTTTGAAAGTTTTTTGTTACTGTTTAGTTCAATTGTAACCATCAATAGTTCAGCAATAAAGTAAATTTCAATATAAATGAAAATTACTGTTTCATTTAAGCTAAAGCTGATGAACGAGCGAAAGAGTGGAGACAGAAAGAATACGAATACGCATAGACGCTGTAGCGGCGGTTTATTCTTGTTCTTTCTGTCTCTACTCCTTCGCTAGTTCATTGGAGTGTAAGAGTGAAAAGAGGAGTGGACTCTATTTCAAGAGAGTAAATGTCAGACTTGGGAAGTCCTTTTTCTGCATTATTTTTCAAAAATGCCCTAAAATTTGTAGATATGCCACCAACTGAGACGTGTTTCCACTTAAATTCAGACTAGATTGATTAGGAATCCACAGCTAGTGTAGAAGAATTCGTATTATGCAAAACGGGAATTGCACCATCACGTAATAAAAAGTAATACATTTCAAAAGTATACATTCAGCTTGAGTTACAAGCGCAGTGGAAGGAAATAATATAAATTGTCTAAAAAATGTCCTAGCATACACTATCAAACTAAAATCGCAGTAATTCCGAAACTATAAACTTAGAAAAAGCAGTAGAATCTCGTTATGCTGTATTATTTTTTCATCCGGAAAAATATTATAATATATTTTTTTATCTGGATGAAAATATTTCGTTTTGAAATTTTTTTTCGTTTCATCAATATTTCCGTATTTTCTCATCTTCAAAGGATGAAATAATTCCGGATGAATTTATTCAGGAAGCCCTGCATTATTAGAATAAAAAAAAATTAAGATCAGAACAACATGTGTCATTATCATCATCAGCAGAAGAAATGGATATGTCGCAGTGAATTCTTCACTGCTGATTTACGCTTGGGCACGTTTTTTTATTTTTATTCAGTTAGCGAAAGGAAACTCGCCATTCAGTTATCAGTGAAATGCAAAGTCATCCATCATTTCAAGAATCTCGAAGCGGATGATTTGACACTGACAGATACACACAAAGTATCACACAAGTAAAAAATTGATTGGCATACAACACATCAAGTCACACTTACTGCTTGTAACTGAGCGCTCTTATCTTTTTCCCGTCTATATCACGTACGAGCTGTACTAACGAGCCATCAATCAATTATCACCAATTGATAATAGTTCACTTTAATAGTTTCTGTATGCACTAATGGATGTGCATGTGCATTATCAACAATAAACACCTATTAGTGTGAGAATTGGGTCGAGGTATAAATATTGCTGAATGCATGAAGTCAAGTTTGCAAGTTGCATTTAACAGAAATAACTTAGAAAAATTGTTGTCGCATTTGCAAAAGACTTGGAAAAATTTGAAAAAAAAAAAACAGTAAAAAGTGATTGAAAATAAAGTGATCATGGCTCGTACAAAGAATGCTGATTCATATGAATCCCCGTCAAAGAAAATACTTGCTGCTAAACTGTCAGCGATAAACGATCAATCTATGAGCGTAAGTGCCGATGAACAGCAGTGTTTGATTTTTTCAGCTGCTTTAAACGCTGGTTTGTTTCCATCATTTGAAATTGGTTCTGAAAACATCAACTTTTTCAATGAACAACAACCAGAAAGCAACCAACAAGTTGAACCAGCAGAACCAGACACTCTCCAAAACCAACCAAACCAACCAAGATTGAGAAACCATTGTAGAAGTTTTATGAGCTACGATAATATCGTGAAGCTTTTTACGGCAGTTTTTAGAATCAATGGCAACTACTTACTAGTCAACCATGACTCTCATTAATTTTTTTATTATATACTATGTTTTTAGTTTTGTGCTTTAGTGTACACGCAAAATACGACAAACATGACACACCGATAATGTAACTACCAATATGACTTGCGTTGGCAATGAATTAATGAAGTTCTTTACAAATGGCGACTCAGGTGGTAAGTGTCATACTTATATATAGATATAGTAAATCCACACTAAATAGAAAAGAAGTTGCAGTAAGTTAGTTAATTAGATTGAAATAGTTTTGACTTTTGATTTATACGCTCGTGGCAATTCTAAGGCAAAAATATTGTTGGAAAAATATTGCACAACTGGTGCCTGCAAAAACATCTGGTTATAAACGTGTTACATTGAAGGTAGAGGATGGAGAACGGTTAATTGGCATTTTAAGTCAAGACACTTAAGATTGCAAGCCAGAACTACATGGCAATTTTTTATATTAATTTTTCAAAAAATTGATTAAATCTTGCTGCTGTTGAGCACCGGTGAGACGGCCTGAGGTTCGGTTTCCCAAAAACGCCAGATGTTACTTTCAAAGTAAACTTTGTATTCAACAAATGTTGCACATCATGGTCAGAACCAAATTATCAAAGTAAAATAAAAGAAGATTCAATAAAAACAAGCAGTTTTACTTTTAACTCAGCTATTATTGAAATTATATTTCAACAATTTTTGGAGTTTGCCACGAATCAAAAAGAATAATAAAAAAATAAACCAATCACCTTATGAAAAACAATTAGTTCGTACGTAATAATTGTAAAAAATCATAAAAAAATAAATAATAAAAAACTTCGAAAATAATAAAAAATATTTGGAAAATTGAACAAAACGTTATTAATAAAATACATCGAGTGAATGATGAGATAATGAAAATGAAGGATTCAAATCGATATTTGAACTTAAAGTTCAAAATTCCCTAAAAAACGGGAATATTTTATACGGACAAAATGGAACAAGCAGCGCATTAACCATTTGTAAATGTTACGAAAGTGATTTGTTTAGACCAAAATTGTTGGTCATCGAACATATATATCAACATTGAATACATAACAAGAAGAATATAAAACACAAATATAGAATATTTCGACATAAAATTTTGTAATCGATAATAACACAGTCTGTCGGCCCACTTTCGGAGTATGTGGAACCGAAATAAACAACATGGGCCACAAATTAAATATAATAAAAAGATTCCATAAATGTGCTGACAATGATTTTTGGAAATACAACTGGAATGAATTGGTTCATTTCGGACTAAACCACCTTGAAAGATGTGTTACATTTAAAAAAAAAAGTGGTTACAAAAACGCGGCATGAGAAGATTTCTAAAAACAAAAGATGAATCCGATTTTTGTCGCTAAGAGATACAAGTGCAAAACATCTATTTTTAGATTCTCGAAGCGGATGATTCACATAACAGATACACATAATGTATCTACAAATTGGTAAGTTTTAGGGATATTTTTTTCTGCAAAACAATGGACATAATTCAATAAAAACCACACGGAGTTTCAATTTTTTCCAGCTTGCAATGGAGACACGGGATCAGGACTATATATGAACGGTACAGTTGATTTTTTTTTCAATTTTCAATGATACATTAAAGCTTAATTATGTAGAGAT